CAAAGTTTGGACCAAAACTTATAGGTATAAGACGCGTTTTAATTGTATATGTCACTTAATAATAGTTAATTAATATTATATATTGCCTCAATCTTAGTTAATATAGTAACTAGTAACATAGTTTGGTGTTTACATCAAATTCAAGTAAAAAGATTTTCAGTGTCCATCACCCTTTCAACTAGTTCTTACAAAGAAAGAATACTAAAAATCATTCAAATTACAAACATTTCTATTTTAAAAATAAAAGAGGGAGAAGTGCGTCATCAAACCCTACATTCTTTCGAATTTTGAAAAAAATAGACATATATTTGAGCTCTTAATTAGATGGAAGATAGAATTTAATCCTAAAATATGAGAATCTAATTGTAATGAAGACCTCCCATCCAACACTCCTACCATGAATTTTATACTTTGGAACTGACGTGGTGCTCACAACAACGACTTTCGCCATAATTTTTTATCACTCCTAGATTACCATGCACCTGCACTAGTAGTACTATTTGAAACCCACATGCAAAAACACGTTGTTCTACGTGATGACTTTGGCTTTACAAATTTCTATGAGGTCCCTGCCACAGGACAAACATGCAGTATTGCTATGTTTTGACATGCACACTTACTAAATGTTGAAAATGTAGATGATCAGGAGGTACACGTCATGATCCAGGTATTTTCTCATCCACAAAAAGGACTTTTTCTGCGATTTATGCTAGTCCTTGTTATGCTAACTATTAATTATTATGGCAAAATCTTATGTGTCTTTATGATCATTATAAGGGTCTGTAGATCATTGGGGGTGACTTCAACGAAATACTACACTCTAGAGAGAAATTTGGAGGTCGACCTATAAATAATACATGTTTAAATCAATTTACTGATTGTACAAACTACTGTAATTTAGTAGACCTTGGTTACAAGGGTAGTAAATATACTTGGACTAATGAACGGCATTATGTCGATCATATTTTAGAACGTTTGGATAGATTATTTGCAAACTATGACTGGTTAACCTTATTCCCTGAATCTACTATACGCTACCTGAACCGTACACACTCAGATCACACTCAATTGTTGCTTACACTTCATACTCCAAAAATAGCTAAATCACACACTTTTCGCTTTGAAACTATTTGGACCTCCCATACTGATTTTATAAACGTACTCCGTGATAGTTGGCATCCCTCCCCTTCCCCAATACCGGAAGCCATTAATCACTTCCAGAATAATGTTCAATTTTGGAATAGACCCTTCTTTGGTAATATATTTCATAAAAAATGATATTTACTAGCTCGACTAGAAGGTATTCGGTCATCCCCGTACCATCCTACTAGTTACTTTCTCCAAAACCTTGAAATCACTCTTCTGAAAGATTATAATGACACATTTATCTTAGAAGAAGAGTTTTGAAAACTAAAATCACGTGTACAATGGTTACAAGACGGAGATACTAATACTAAATTCTTTCACTTATCAACTTTACAATTCCGTCGCCAGAATCATATTACTGCCTTAAGAGACAATGCTTGTAACTGGTATTTTGAAAATACCAAGATACAAACTACCATACTTGCTTGTTTCACCCAGCTTTTTACCATTGACTCTCCTCACTCCTCAATATCCCATAACTTTTTCTTATCCTCCACCATTACTCCCACCGAAAGCTCGCATATTCTGAGACATGCCATTCACCTAGACATCATCTCCGTTGTTAAGTCCTTTAAACCCTACAAAGCACCTGGCCCTGATGGCCTACACCCTTATTTTTATCAACATTTTTGGCATGAGGTGGGTCTTAAGGTAAATGCTTTATGCAAACAAATCTTTCAGGACTACGTAATTCCTGATTCTATCAATCAAACATATATTTATTTAATTCCTAAAGTTCGCAATGCCTCCATGATTACACAATTTCGCCCGATTGGGCTCTGTTAACCTATTTATAAAATGATCACAAAATTTATTGTTCAGTGCATTAAGCCTCTAATGTAAAAAATTATCAGCCCTACGCAATCCAACTTTCAGCCAAACCGTAGAGCAGCGGATAATGCCATCATATTCCAAGAAAATTCTTTCCCACTTCAAACGCAAAAAAGAAAAAACTAGTTACATGCTCTTGAAATTAGATATTAAAAAAGCTTTTGATTGTATCAAATGATTTTTTGTTCGTCAAGCTCTTCAATTCTTTAATTTTTCATAGCCACTAATCAACTTAATCATGTCTTGTGTCACCACTACCTCCCTATCAATTCTTATTAATGGTTCACGCACCTCTCACTTTTACCCATCCCGTGGGCTTTGTCAGGGATACCCACTATCTTCATACTTATTTATATTATGTATGAAAATGCTCACCAGGAAAATAAAGCTATCAGTAGATTACCAACTTTGACGGCCTATCCTCTTATCCCGTAATGGTCCACTACTATCCCATTTATTTTTCGCTGATGACATCATTCTTACCTCCACCACCTCAGCCTCCAGTTGCCACGCCATTATCGATATCCTTAATGAGTTTAATCAAGTTTCATGTTAAAAGATTAATTTTCAAAAATCTAAAATCTTTTTCTCGAAAAATTGCTCCCCTCAGGATAAACATTTTATTCTTCCTTCTTTACCGCTACAAGAAGAAACTTCCTTTGAAAAATACCTCGGATTTCCCATCTTCACATCCCGTCCCTCCAAATGTGACTTTCAATTTCTTATCGATAATTTTAAAACTAAACTTGCGGGCTGGAAAACTAATTTCCTAAGTATGGCGGGACATATTACTCTTATCAATTTCTCCAACCATGTAATGCAATACATTAAACTTCTTCGATACATTATCCATCAATTAGAACGCTTTCAGCATAATTTTCTGTGGGGAACTACTCCAAATAAAAAGAGAATTCACCTTTTAAAATGGAGAACCGTTACCACCCCAAAATCATAGGGAGGACTAGGAATTCAACAAATTCACCTAAAAAATAGGTCGCTACTCGCAAGCTAAACTTGACGACTACTCAAACAACCCCATTCGTTGTGGGCCGCCATACTCCTTCATAAATACTTCTACCATCGAAGGAATATTCCCACACACGGTTCCTTAATTTGGGAAAATTTGACTCTTGGGTGGTACCTCTATCAATAAGGGATATAATGGTCAACTGGTAATGGAACCCTTATTAACTTTTGGAATGACAACTGGCTACCAACGCCCAAGCCTATTCGATATTACCTAATAGGTCCCCTTCCCCAATATGTCGCTCGCAACACTGTCTCAACATATCTCTCAAACGGCCACTGGAATTTTGCCTCACTCCATTTTGAACTACCAACCTCAATCCTCCAACATGCTCTTAATGTTCATCCCCCCTCTTATACATCCTCCAATGACTCCTACGCTTGGGCCCTCACACCCCATGGGAACTTTACTACCAAATCACTTTACCATCACTTACTTCCTACAATCACTAATCACTCATTTTAGTGGATTTGAAAGTTACGAATACCTCCGAAAACCAGACATTTCCTATGGCTTTGCAGCCACCAACGCTTACCCACTGTGACATACTATCGTCGAATTGAGATTCTCAATAATGCCACTTGTCCCCACTGCCACACTAATACGGAAACCATTCACCATATACTTCTCGCCTGTCCAGCAATCGCACATATCTGGTCTGATTTTCATATGCTTCAGGCAATTGCTGATCTTCCTCCATTTGAAACCAATCCACTCGAATGCCTAAAACACCCTATCTTACATACTGATATTACTAACTCCCTTAATATCCCTAACTCCATCCTCATACCTTTATGTTTATGGCATATATGGCTTACTCGAAATGCTAAAGTCTTTCGCTCAGTTCACAAACTACTCTCTTCCTCACATATCCTAAATCTCGCAGCCAAATTTTTCTATATTGTAGGAATGCCCGCTCACTCACCCAGCCGCACACCACTATACCTTAAATGGGACTCGTCTACCACTACCCCTTCAAGCTAAATACCGATGGTTCAGTATAATTAAATACTTGACAGGGCAGGATGAGAGGTGTTATATGAGACTCCGCAGGCAATTGGCTTACGAGTTTTGCGGGGCATCACATCTCTCATAGAAGTGTTGAAATTGAATTACGCGCCCTCTATCATGAGTTACAATTAGCTGTTAAACCTATAGAAATAAACATTGATGCCCAAACAATCACTACCATTTTACAGACCTCACACCCATTGTATGCTAACATTATAAATGATTGCAGGTTTCTCCTTGCGAGACTGGATGATCTTACTGTACGTTTCACTTACGGGGAGCAAAACCATGTAGCAGATATACTAGCTAAGTCTGGATGCAACATGGACACCATAACCGACATGAAGGGTTCCCTCACAAACCCTACCACAACCACTCAGTTTGCAAAGTCCTCTTGGACTATCTTTTTGTTTATCCCGTGATACGGGAACCACTAGTAGTAGTTTTAGTTACCCCGAACCCCCCTACGTAATGACCCCCAAGTGGTCAAACCCCTAGATCACTCTCTCCCCCTTAATATAATATAAATAGTTATCTTTAGAACCCTCCCCCCCTCCCCCCCCTCCCCAAAAAAAAGGATACAATCATATATAATCCATGTCATAGATAGTTTGATCAATATTTAACATCATACTTGGAGAAGAACAAAAAAATACCAAACAATAGTGTTATCAAAATCGAACATGTATTTCACTTAAAAATATTATAGTTTTGTTTGAGAAAAACATTATTTACTTGAAAAAGAGATACATTTTTTTAAATTTAAAACTTATCTTCAAAATTTCAATCTAGTGTATAACTAAATACTAATATTTAAAAGATGGTTTTAGGGAAAAAGCAAAAAAATTGTATGGACAAACAGGTCCTAATAGTTTTCATAATTCTAAAGTGGATTTTCACAAAAAATGAGAATCGAAACGACAGCGTTTAGTGCCACCAATGCGCATCACAGCGTTAGAAACTGGAAAATGTTGTGATTGGGCTGTACATACTGCAATTCACACTGTATTAGCTCCTTCCACTTTGCCAAATATAGAAACAAAAAAAAGAATTCTCCCATAAACCTTTTACTCAATTTCTCCTTCAAATTGAATTTCCAAATTAAGTATATTTAGCAAAACTGCAAACTTGATCCTTATTATTTCCTTTGAATTGTATGTAAAAGAAAAGAGAGAAAAAAAAAGCAGCTCAAAATTGTATTTCTATTATTCAGATGGAGATACGAGCAGTGCCACTCTTGTTATTAATGTGTTATGCTCTTTGTTTAGCTTTGATTGATAGATCGGAATCTCTTCACTCCAACGGAATTTCCCCTCAAGGTATTGAAAAAAATAAAATATCTTATGGGTTTCGCTTTTGATATGCACATTTCGTTATTGCATTTGCATTTTTATTATGTCAATTTGGTGAATTTCATTTTTTTGGGAGGGATTTTAGTAATGTTTTGCTAAGGCAATTGCATTTTTTATATGCCCATTTCGTGATTGTTCTTTTGATTTTGGGGACTTTAGAAAAACTTTATTGCATTGTAAACATGATTTTCTGCTGTGGCATTTGCAATTTTGATATGAGTTTAAGTTCTATTGCATTGAGAGTGTAAAAGATATTTAGGGAATCAGATCATTTATAAGGTAACGAAAGTAAATTTCTTGATAAATATTAATTGTTAATCTGGTAAAATGTTAATTGACCCGCAATCATAGGTTAAACTTCAGTAATAGTGTACAAAAGAAAATGTTTGTGCCGTTAGTGTATATAACGTTAACTCTTTTGATATGATAGTATAGCCGTCTTCTTAGTGGAAAGCAATATATTCTGTTTATCTATTTTTGCACTTGTGACTTGACATGCCCATTTGGTGATTATTTTTTTTTTAATTTTTGGGATTTTAGTAGTAGTTCTTTTTGTTGGCTGTGATAAACAAAGTCTACTTTTTTTGAATTTTGGATTTTGTACACCATTTATGATTTTTAAGTTTTGCTGAAAAATAGTAGTTATTGTTGTATGAACATACAGGTGATCCATTTGACGTGCCTATTTCATGAGATTATAGTAATGTTTATAGCTCCTCTTGAATAAAAGTTTCTTTGACAAATGAAATGCCCATTTTGTGATATCTTTTTTTTTGTGTGTGGAGATTTTTGTCATTTTTATTGCCTTGTTGGAAGATCTTTGCATTTGATATGTCCATTTCTGGATTTCATGAACTTTGAGATTTTAATGTTTGTTTGGTGTTGATTTTGCATTTGCTGTGCTCATTTCGTGATTTTTTTTGTTTTTCCAGGTTTTAGCAACTCTTACTGCTGCATAAGCAAAGTTTTTGGCATTTGATTTGCCCATTTCTTAATTTCATGTTTCTTTCTTGTGGAGATATTGATAGCTTTGCTTAGTGAATAAGCCATATGTTTTGTTTATGGGTTTTCATTTGATTTGCCCGTTTGATCTCGGTCTTTCAAGATTTTTAGATAAAAAATATTTATGCTTTTGGCATTTACATTTGCATTTGAGATGAAAATGATTTGTTTGTGAGTGCAGATGAGAATTACTACAAGGGTTTGTCTTCGGGTGCTATAAAATGTAAAGATGGATCAAAGAAATTCACCAAGGATCAGCTCAATGATGATTTTTGTGACTGCCCAGATGGTTCCGATGAGCCAGGTTTGGATTTAAGTGACTAAATGGTGTTAAGATTTCGTTTTGGTTTAACAGTTTCTTTTCTTCGTTATAATGTGTGTGTTTGATTGAGAGACTTGGGTTTGCAGGGACCTCAGCATGCCCCAACGGAAAATTTTATTGCAAAAATGCAGGACATATTCCTCTTTCAATATACTCGTCGAGGGTTAATGATGGCATTTGTGGTATGAATCCTCGTGTTCTTGCCTTTCTGTAGTATTTGATCAGCATCAAAGTGCTTAGTGTGGTCTGCAGCTGTATGGTTTTATTCTTTGTCTAACTAAGCAGATATGTGAATGACATGTATTGGACTGCATATACTGGCAATTGCCACTATCATCTGTGTGTGTTGGACATTTGAGTTGAAGAGAAGCTATTTTTTGTGAAGTTTAATTCCTGAAGAATTTATTATCAGCATTGACGCTTACTTCTTTGCATTCTTTTCCCACAGGTCATTGTTTATTAATTAGCTGAATATCTACCCCTACCCCTTGTTTGAAATGTTGGTTAGTTGGTGACCTTTACTTCAAATGGCATAATAATGTTTAAAATCAAAAATATATTTGTTAATTAGCTCTAGTTGTCCAAAAAGTATTTATGTTATAGCTCAAAGTTCCTCTATGAACAGAGGTGGACCTATGCTTGGAGAAGAGGAGTTACCGGACCCGTTTACTTTGGCAAAAGTTCTCAATATTTAAGTGTATATATATTGAAAACGGTCATATATTTTGCTTGGAACCCTAAGATGAAAAGTCCGATGGGCTCAGTTGTTGAGCAGTTCGCTCATGTGCCCCGCTACCTTCAAATCTTGGGTCCGCCTCTGTCTATGAAAAATATTCGCTCTTAATGTGGATAAAGCTTGACATGTTCATAGCACCTCTTTGAGTTCTATTGTATGAAAACGAGGAGCATACCCAACTTTGTTGTTCTCTTACTCAATGAAGGCAAGGACTATTATCTGTGAAAGGCTACAAATGCGTGTTATGATTTAAATTCCTAATTGAAAAGATGGATAGAAAAAGCAATTATCACCTTGGGCTACATTACAAAGTATACTACAATGCCAAATGAAAATGAGGAAAATTAGTCTCTTCTTGTCCCCCCCTATACGCCTAGAGTGACTCTAGTCCTGATAATGGTTTGTTGTTGATAAGTTGAGCCTGATAATGGTTTCCTAAAACGCGTTCCTTTACCCTATGAAAGTGGTAATCAGGTAATGAGAGAGATACAATGTCCCATTCTACCTCTTGGTCTTTCACTATCTATTTTTTCTGATCTTAGTGTTTGGGGTTGGGCCTGGAAGGTCTCTTAACGCTTTCCTTTTTATTTGATTAACTACTTCATTGTTGTTAACTGACCCATTTTATAGTTATGAACTCTATATGCTCATGAGGAACCTTTATGAAGACAAATCATTTTCCTCTTGGATTCACAAATCTAAATTCATGAGAAAATAAGGTCAATTATTTTCTTTTGCTTTCTTGTTTACCAGCCATCCAAAAAGAAAACAAAATCACTCTACTCTGTTTTCTCTTCCAGTTTCTCTCATTCTAGTTTCCCTTCATTTCTCTTCCTTTTGCTAGTTCTGAAATGTAGAATAAATCTAAATTTAGGTCCACTGCGGTCCAAAGTAACTCATATTTCTAGTTTCAGTTCTGCTGCACTAACTATCCCTCAAAAATAAACAAATAAAAAGTGCACCATCACATCGCTTTTAAAATTAAGCCAAAGATATCTGTTACACACATATTTTCTGAAGATTTAATATTTCAATTGATCATCATCATGCATATCGTTATCCATCAAAGGTGGGCAAAAGGTTCTGTACATAAGGGGGTGGTTGGATGCTTGTCGAACGAAAGACATACATACCTCGAGGATGCTAATAGGTTGATCTGCCATATTCTTTGCCAGATTATGTGTGCCATGCTTATGTAAAGAACGCCATTTATTTCCAAAGCACTGTGAAGAACTGATCTATGAGGGATTTACGGATTCGGAAGAAGCCATTTACTCTTCTATTCTTATATTTGTTATGATAAGGAGATTACTTTTAAGAGGCTTGACGCGCATATTGTAACTTCAGTAAAATGCTAGCCCTGCCGTCTCTCTTTTCCTTTGTAGATCATTTTTTCTTGCCTCTGATCTTCACTTGCCAGTCTCTTTGTGTTGGTGAAGTCATATCTATCTATGTTTCTTATGATTTCCATAAAGCATTTGCATACAATTTCTCAAATATCTGAATGGTATGGTTTAATATCCAAATGGGGAATCTCATGTATGCTGCTGCTGTTTTTGACTTTCGAATTCTCCTATTAACAACCTTAATGGCACAATTGAGCAGATTGCTGTGATGGAAGTGACGAGTATGATGGCCAAACCAAGTGCCCAAATACGTGCTGGGAGGCTGGCAAAGTAGCTAGAGAAAAACTGAATAAAAAGATTGCTACATATCAGGAAGGTGTGACTCTTAGAAAGAAGGAGGTTGAAGAAGCTAAGTTGGCAATTGCGAAAGAGGAAACTGAACTATCCAAGTTGAAAAACGAGAAGAAGATACTTAAAGAGTTGGTTGAGCAGCTTAAGGGTATCTTTCTCTTCTCCCCTAAACGGGGACTGTTCTTGAGAGGATTATTGTGCCTACTTTAGAGAAGGACCTCTTTGAACATCTGTAGAAGTGGTTCCACGTAATGTCTATCATTTCTACGTTATGGTATAAATGAAGCAAGAATAGATAACAAAGGATACGGAATTTTATTGATAAATTCCAAATTATGATAGGGACCGAAAGGTTTTGAAGTGAATAAGATACCGAAAAGCATAAAAAAATGAGATGGTTTTGAATATTACAAGTTACCTTACGTTAAGCTAGAACTATTTATGGTAATTATATATCTTTCTTTATAGTTTTTATCTAGAATCTTTTATACTAAAGGAAGACTCTTACATTTTGCAACAATGTGCTTACTGTTATGCTCAAACAGACCTTCTAGATGAATTATTGTTTATATGTATCCCTTTCACCTCTTGTTAATCATTTTTACAAAGTGATGTTCTGTAGTATGAAATATTTCAGTCACTAAGAGGTGTTTTCCCCTAGCAAGGTGAGAGCTTATGAGCAGTTGAATAATTTGCTTCTTTAAATTTCTCTTACATTTACTCCTCTTCATCTAGAGCGCAAGGAACAAATAGAGAAGGCTGAGGAGGAAGAACGGGTAAAGAGAGAAAAAGAAAAGAAGGATCAAAAGGAATCTGAAGATGCTAAAGTAGAGACAACTAAATCTGAGGAAAAAGCTGAAGTTCAAGAAGATGCTGTGAAGAACGACGTCCACGATAAGATTGGCCTCCTCAACGGCTCTCCATCTGTACGGTTAATTGTTTTATGTTGAGAGTTCTTTCTAAAAAAAATGTTTGTATGTTAAGAGATCTCACCTAATTAAATGATGTCAACACATGCAAAAGTTGATCAGGATATCACAAGAGACAATGGGAGTCAATAGTGGAACTTTGTGAAAGACTTTGGTGATCATGTGATTAGGTTTTCCACTCGTTTTGCACTCTTGATTTTCCTCATAGGTTGCGATCTACATTGACCAGCATTTTTCCATCTTTAGGATGTCCAAACTTATTGAAACTTTTATGAATTTCAGAAATTAAAATTTTCTCGCCTAGGATTTTTTCACAGTAATGTGTCCAGAGGGAGTAATGTTACAATGTTTTTTCCACACCGAGAATATGATAAACTGATCTTGACAACGGGACATATCAGCAGAATTACCCAAATAAGAAGAATACAATCACCAACAAACTGGAATTGATAAATACTTCATGTTTCCTGTTAGATGTTACCCCCTCCTCCTCTTGGGGTAGTTAATTGCTCACAGAGTGAATAAGAGGATAGGAAGAGTTCAGTTAACTTTAAGTGAATAAATATTGTTAGGCTCTTTGATTCATTTACTTATTCCTCTCTATCTGAATATCCTCTTGGCTTTTGTCTCTCTTTAAGATCCCCAAGGGGTCTGGTTGTAGTTAATGCTCTTGATCTTACTGGAGAACAGTGTTCTCTGCAATCTACCAATTATCATTGTAAAATCATCTTGTATCGTATATGTTGCTTGTTCTGGTACTTATTTCATATTTTGTTAGGATGTGGTAGAACGCCCTGACGAAGATATGGACAAAATCGAGCATGATGACCAGTCCCACAAGGATGAAGTTGAGCAGGTTCCTGAGGATTCTCAGGTTTGTCAAAAGTTCCTTCAGATGTGATATTTCAACTTGTCTTTTTGTATGATTGATGGCTATCTAGAATTTCACCTTAAGAAAATGTCTCCTTATCACATGCATGCATACTCCTTCCATACAGCCAAAATTGCGCTCAGTGTTTCGTTGTTGGAAACAATAGAACTTTGGAGTTAATTGCTTTTTCCTTGTAGGACACTGCAATTTGTTGAAAAAATGAGGACTTGCACTGCCATTTAACTTGCAAATGTAACTACCATTACACACTTTTGCCAGTTTGTGAACATGTAATAAGTACTTAGATAAATTGAACTTTGTCCAGAATTTGGATACAGAGCCCGTGCCATTTCAGGATGGAAACCTGGCATAGTATGCTAAATATAAAGTGCATGACTATCCATCAATTATGTTTTCTTTCGTCTAACTTTACTTACAGTGGGAAGAAACTACCGTATACAAGAAGTATACCAGAAAGCTAGAGAGCCTACACAAAGTCGATCAATATTGCATTTCTGTGAACTATATGATATCATGTAGTTATTACATGCATTTCCCCAGAACCGAACTCTGATTTTCCTGAATCAATTGAACATTGGTTAGGCCATTTTATGTGATGTTTGCACTAGATGAACAAACCTTCAATGTAAGTGCACAGATATTTAATCCACTCAAGTACTTAAAAAGGAATTCGTAGAAACCTGGCCAGAGAGTAAAAGGGCTACTTCAATGGAATTTTGTATGTTTGGCAAAATTGAAGTTACTGTGTGACTCGAATCGTTGGTAAAACATTCTTCAACTCCCCCAATAAATATGAAGGGACAGGTGAGGTGCAAAAAGATTAATCAAAATGCATGAGTTGCTTAATGCTCAAGATTGGTGGTACTTCTGCAATGTTGACTGCAGCAACATCAAATGCTCCTGGAACCTTTTCTATATGTTTCTTTGCCTTCAGCTAGTTATTGTTATATGTAGCACTACACATCCAAAAGGATAAAGATTGCGGGAATTTGATGTCCTTAATTGAAAGATGAAAAGATAAGCTTTATTCTTTGGGTACTCAGCAAGGCCTAACTGACGGTTTAGGTGCTTGTATTGCTGCCCTATGTCTATTAAGTGACATGGAAATTAGTGATCAAGAAATTCATCATTTTGGTAACCTAATATTTTGTGATTTTCTTTCATATTTCCAGGAGCTAGATCCTACTGAAAATACCGAATCATTGTCAAAAGAAGAGTTAGGTCGTGTTATTGGTTCTCGTTGGCTGGGAAAAAAAAGTGAGCGGGCAAATGAGGAGGTTGATGCTGGAACTAAGAGCAACTATGACAGCAGCGATGAAGGACCGACTGATAGTCATGAAGAGGAATACCATGGATATGATTCAGAGGATGATGAGCACAAGTATGAAGATGACGAAACTGAGGACCCAGTTGAAGATCTCGGGGGAGAGGACCACGATTCAAGTTCTTCATACAAGGCTGAATCTGATGATGATTCCGATTTCTCAGGTGTGCAAGATAAGAATGATATGTTGCTAACAGCTGGTATTTGACATACATATATCATTTTTCTCAATGTAATTTTGCAGATGTTACGGCCACAAGTAATCCTTCATGGATGGAGAAGATACAGCGAACAATGAAGAGCATTATCCGCTCTGTGAATTTGTTCCAAACTCCAGTGAACATTTCTGGTATGAATAGAGATTCTATCCATTTCCTGCTCTTAAACTGTTTTAAGAAAGAAATAATGAATTATGTCTTTGGTGTTTTGCTTCCACAGATGCTGCCCATATACGCAAGGAATATGATGAGTTAAGTGCAAAGTTGTCAAAGGTCCTATCAAGGATATCTAGTTTGGAGAAAAAGCTCAAACAGGATTTTGGTAGGTGGTGAATTCATGTTTCTATGTTTATCTGTTTTTTCTGTCCTTTTCAATATGTTCCTTACTTTCGTTTCTACAAGAAGAGAGTATAGGATCCTGCACATGCTGATCTGCAAGTTCAATTGCAGGACCGGAGAAGGAGTTCCATTCATTCTATAGTCAATGCTTCGAGAGCAAGGAGAATAAGTGATGAATCTTTCATTGTCTTGTTGACCTTTGTTAAGCCTATGGTTTTCTTTTTTGAAATATTTTTGTGTTATTTCGTCATCTGTCACTGATGAATATTTGCTTTAGGTACACATACAAGATTTGTCCTTTCAAAGAAGCAACCCAGGTCGAGGGCTACAGTACAACTCGTTTGGGGTAGGCACTTTCACAGCTTAAGCATGTACATTACTTGAGTCACTCTATATATCTGAGAATGATAGTCAATTTCCTGTGAAGTGGCAACCAAATATGATCGGTGCTTTGAAAATCGTCACAATTCTGGAGTCTCATGCACTGGGTTTTCTTCTTTAATCTTGGTTTTAGATCCATGCTCTGTGGTAGAAACGAAAAGGAGGTGAATTAATAGAAGTACTAAATTGTTTACATTCGTCTGATAGTAGAAGAGACAGGTTCATATCATTTTGCTTGTGGCTCCTGAAAAAAGACGATGTGGGGTTGCTTTATTATGATCTTTACCTGTCTGCCCGAATGCTCTAAGCTTGGGACTTACCAATTTTCTCATTGTTTTGGTTTTTTTCTTTTTCCTGTGCTACATCAAAGGAATTGGGATAAATTTGAGGATTCTTATAGAACCTTGCAATTCTCAAACGGGGACAAGTGCTGGAATGGGCCAGATCGAAGTTTAAAGGCAGGAATTCCTAACTTCTTTTGTTTGTGTTCTCTCAGCTGTCCTTTTGAGTTGTCCCTTCTTCAATTATAGCATTCAGTTATAAATATTCTTGTTCTTGATTGTCCTCTTTTCGTACAGGTAAAATTAAGATGTGGCCTGAAAAATGAGTTGACTGATGTAGATGAGCCCAGCCGCTGCGAGTAAGCACCATTCTCTTCCGATCTATGTATATGTTTTGCGTGCTTTATGGGAAAAATACGTAAGTTACCACCTCAACTATGGACCAAATCCTTGTTACACACTTTTTGCGGACGAAAATAACTTTACACACTCAACCTTTCCAGATACACCCTACTTTTATATTTAAGCATCTCAGAAAAAGTGAGGCATGTCATGCACCAATAATATAGTGCCATGTGTCATTAATTTTAAAATAAAATAAATTAATGTGAATTACAAATACACCCCTTAACTATTCTCCCTTCCATCTCTTTCTCTTCTCCACCTAATCTCCATTGACGCCGACCACCATAAAAAAATCCACAATTATCACCTTCCAATTACAAAGCAAAATTAGGAACGCAAGTACATTAGTTACGAGTTTGTGAGTCTAGATTCAAATCTAACACAAGAAATAGGATGCAAAACTCAAAACTCCATTAAAGTTGGTTATGAACAGATCCATGGCTGCTCGATTCGCGGTCATCTTCTCCGATAAAAAAAATCTAGGTGTTTTGGCAGTTGATTTTGGCCAGAATTCGTGGCATTATTCCATGGAAATAAGCAACCAAAGTGATGAAAGCGCAAGCAACAAAGAACAACTTTATAAAAATGGCCGGCAAGTAACAAATAGTCATTCAAATCTCGGATTCTTTTGGCTCATTTCCGATATCCCTCAACCACCAATACTCTACCACATTAAATCTGTGTTCCTAAATTGTTACTATTAAATTACGATTCAAACCCAGATCTATAGAATTCTCTTAGATATAGATTCCTTTTTAACTTTCTTTATCAATTTCTTCCAAAGCCTTTTTATATTATTGTTATTCTTAAAATTGTGGACAAAGAAGATGGGGGAAAGGGGGTGGGGAAAAAGTCGAAAATGGGGAAAGGGGGAAAGGTCAGCAACGAACTCATAGAGGAGGGTTCTGGGGAAGAAGAACAGGGAAGGGGTGGGTTAAAAGTGAAGGGAAACAAAAAAAATTTAAAATTTTGACACATGTCCTTTAAGTAAGAACTGGGATAAAAATCCTACAGTTTAACGCGCTTACAATTTTTGTTACACGCGCATGCCGTGTAGCAAAAGTATTGTGTATTTGACACACCCTGGAAAGGTTGAGTGTGTAAAGTTATTTTCGTCCTCAAAAAGTGAAACAAGGATTTGATCCATAGTTGAGGTGGTAACTTATGTATTTTGCCTGCTTTTATGTGTCGTGGCTTTTGTGCACTTCCATCTGACTAAGTTTGTTACGACAGATATATGGCATTTTTGTCTACCCCAGCTCTTTGTCTCGAAGAAAAGCTGAAGGTTCTCTCCTAAACCCTGTATTAGCTACCCTCGTCTTTCATCCCTACCCCTCCATATCAAATCTTTTTCCAACATTTCTTACTGAAAAACTATCTTTTCCCTCTTATGGTCTCGAGTCTCTCTACCTATATTTTCTGTAAAACTTCTAATGGTGTAATAATGAAATGTTATAGGAGCTCCAAGATAAACTAGAGATGATGAACAAGGAACAACCTCAGAGTCATGATGAACTGTGATCTTCTGGACGAACTACGCGAGAGTGCTGCAAAGGCCTCAAGGGATACAAGGCAACCAAGGTTAGAGTTGGGCTGTCTCAAAGAAAGAGTTTTTAGTTAATTTGCAGCAGTATCCCCTAAACATTTTTTTCTCTGGACGTCGCTCACATGGTTATCAATGTTTCCAAAACATGAACTAGGCTTCCATCAAGGAATTAGAAAAGGGATGGCTTGAAAGCTTTTATTTAGGATACCATTATCCCTTTTAATGACACATATCATTGAATTAGTTCAGATTAGTTATATTAATCTTATTCTGCGGTTGTTTAGCAAAAGTAGTGAAGGAGTCTAGCCCTGGCTGTCTGAATGGGGCTAGAGATTCAAGGGATGACAATGGAAACATACAGATTTTGCAATGAGAAATATTTTATCTTAGTTGTGACTGTGCCATCTTGGTTTTGTTCTCTTTATTTTTTTTGAGAAAATGGATGGAAGCTGAAACTGCATTTAATTTTTTAACTCCAAAAACTTGGTGGGCTTTTGGACATAAGTATAGTAAAATTCCAAAAAAAAAAAAGCGAAAATGATATTTGAAAATTAGAGTTGTGTTTGGACATGAATATAATTTTAGGTTGTTTTTGAATTTTTGTGAGTGATCTGAGTGAAAATTTTGAAAAACAGCTTTTTGGAGTTTTTAAAATTTTCGAAAAATTTCAAAATTCATCTTCAAGTGAAAAACGGAAATTTTATGGCCAAACACTGATTTCGAAAAAAATAAAAAAAATTCGAAAAAAGTGAAAATGTATCAAAAAAAAATGAAAAAATTCTTATGTCCAATGAGGCTCTTAGTGTGAGTTTTTGGGGATACAACTTGAAGAAGAGGCTGTTACATTGTTTGTTATTTTTGATTTCTGGAGTTGCAAAATTAGTAGGAATGGGACCAAAATCCCCTTTGATAAACTGCACAATGATTATATTTACGTGAATAAGAACAACTAATACTCGGTAATTGGGTTTTTTATCTAACTAAAAAGGAGAAATCATATATTTTTGCTGTAGTTTGAAACCATCACGATTTTGGTACTTCGAAGTTCGAATTAATGAATAAAGAGAATATCACATGATGAAAAATTATGCGAGTTTTTATTTGGGGGGCTTTTTCTACTTTTAGACTGCGCCATAAGCTATTTACATTTGGTAGTTGAAAAAATGTATAAATATTTTATATAACATGCAAAATGTGTGTATATATATATACACAAAAATATATATATTTTTCGGCTATTATTTTGAGAACGACTATATATTGTTATTTTACTCTTCTTTCTTTTTCTCTCTTTAAAGAGGTACAACCGCGCCAGCGTTGGTATGTTCTAAAAACGGCTTAAATTATTGAGACATCATGATCACAACCATGCAAATTTTTTATTTCAATTTCTTACATATTTAATTATTTATTCTTTAATTTTGAGTTAGAGGTGCAATCCTTTGTGGCCTCATCCCAAGTCCCAACCCAACTCCAACCTCAATCTAATACAACAACGAGTAAAACTTCTTTCAAACTGATGTTTTCACAAAACTAAGTTATTTTAACGTTAATTAGGAGTATTAGTTGCTAATCAGGTGTTAATTAATCAATGATCTAATAGTACTTATATATTTCATTTATGTGGTGGGATTCAGAGTAGGTGGAACAAAATTTTCAATTTTGAGTATGAACTCAAACTTAAATTTTTCAAGTTTTGTAAAAGAAAATATACATATTTTGAAAGTCCATAATAGTACTATAACTCAATATAAATAATTATGCAAAATATTTTGTTCATATGAAAAAGATAAAAAGAGCAATTCCAAATACTTTTGTTCAGTCCAACAATTGAAAGGTTAAACGTTCAATCAGTTTTTTATAATGTCGTTCTAACACGTATTCAGTCGGACAAACAGTTTATGAATTGAAATTAGGGTTGTTCATGGTTTAACAAAAGCCGATCCAAACAGAAAATCAAACCAAACCGATTAAGTAAACCGATTTTTTTTTTGATTTGGATTGGTTTTGGTTTTAAATTTTAAAAACCGATAATATTTGGTTTGGTTTTAGTTCTATTATAAAAAATCGAAAAATAAACCAAACCAAATCGATAAATTATATATAAAATTTAATAACTATTTATATAAAGTATCATATCTTTTTGTAAATAATTTTAATTTTTTTCTGCATTTTAATTATTATATATAGATTTTGGTTTATACTACTTATATCTTAAAAGATTGCCTAAGCCCAAAGTAATAGGAATTGGGCAATTTCTTTTCCGTAAGAGACTCAAATTCTCTAACCTTATGTATCTACTTTTTCCTAACAGAAGAGTTACAAAAAAATCTATCACAAAAGTTAAAAAAAGCTACTCAAATTGCAAGACTACGGGCTAAAGTTTGAGAAGATTTTTATGAACGTATGATTCTAATTTGTTATGATGAATATTTTATCATTGATTCAATAAAGTGATGTTTGTACTTTAGAACCTTTATTTTGGCTTGTTCTTTTGATTCTATCATCTACTGCAACATAGTTCACCTTTTCTATGTTATATTATTGCTACAATTTCAATATTTTGCTTTATATTATATGCTACAGTTTCAAATGTAAATAGTTAAAAGAACTATCACTGTAGGTATTTGAATTTATGCTCTAGTAGTACTTCAAATATTGTTGTATAATGTCGTTTTACTATTATCGACTTATCGTTAGCTTATTAAGAAGCGAAAACCCGAACCAAACTGAGCTAAACCAACAACAACCAAACCGCTGGTTTGTATTTAATTTGGTTTGGTTTTGGTTTTAAAATTTTAAAAACCGATTAAATTAGTTTGGTTTTGATTTTAATAAAAAAACGACCAAACCGAATCGTGAACACCCCTAATTGAAATAACTATTGGGACTATTCCTTCTCTATTACACCTCCCACTATAATCCCATATAGTAGGATCTAGGGAGATAGTGTACGCAGACCTTATTCCTACGACCAGAGGCGGATCAAATATTTGATGGTTGCGGGTGTCACTGTATTTAATGTAAACTTACCAGCAGTCAAAGAGGTTAAATTTATTAGGTATACATGCATTTGGCCAGTTTGCTATACTTTAAATTAATTTGGTTCGGTTCTGTTCGATCCATTTTGAGTTAATTTGGTTTGCTTTATAAGATCTTTTGGTACATAAATAAACACATGATAACTAAACTGAATATATTTGGTCCTTTCAAGGAAAAAATAATATTAACTACATTAAAAGAAAAAATTATTAAAAGCATATTCAAATTAAAAAAATTGAGAGCTAGAACGAGAAAAATAGACAAATATACTTTTATAATCTAAAGAACTACTAATAAAAATGAGATTGTATATAGGGAAAATATCAACATGAAGATAAAAGAAATTAAGAAAAAGAGGAGAAAAGGAAAGAAGGAACACAAGAAATACTCGCAATATGAGTTTAGTAGTATCGATCCTGGGTATTGGGCTTGAGAAGGGCTTCCTTGACCATGGCACCTACAGCCATTTGGACATTTGGGGTGCCACAAATTATTTATATACATTTGCTACATGAAATACTGGTGAAACACCACTGAGTACATAAAATTCTATACGAGCGAGCGGGTGGCGTACCACCCATAACCTCTACATAGATCAGCCCTGCCTACGACCCTACCCTGTGGACAATTCCTTCTCTATTATGCCTATATTTTTGTAACACATAATCTTAAGCTATATTCTACAACTCCAAACATAGTGTGAGCACGTAATTTTTTGCCATATATATAAAATACTCCTAAAATATTTTTTTTAAAAAAGTTTTTCAATGATTTAATTTTTGTAGAATTTTAGGATTTTTTGTTTATTTAATTGATTGCATTTTTATTGTACTAATATATTATTTACATGGGATTTATGTCACTGAGACTAAAGCAAGTATTGGATTCAAAGCTGGTGTTAAAGAGCTTGCATCATTAGGGATGTTCTAAAATCATGAAAATCATTATATATATATATA